TTGAAAACCGAGTAATCGATTTTAACGCATTATCAAATTTTATTTTCGTTTATCGATTATCTATCATCCCTGAAAGTTTGAAAGATTAACTTTACATATGATGGGAGGCAGACGTGATTGTTTTTCAAAGGGCTGTGAAAATATTTCACTGTGTGAATTTTTTGTGCTAACTTTTTTAGTTTTTGGGATAGAGAAAACATATTGGTCTGTGATAGAACGTCAATAATAGTGAATAATAAGACATAATAATATTTTCGATAATATAATTTGAAAACTAAACCCCAGAAGTGATGAAGAAGTGATGATTTTAACATAGGATTGTCATAGGAGAGATGCCCTTTTTATTTGATTCCAAATTCACTACTTCTGAAGTCATTCGCAAGAAGTAATTTTAATGCTCTTTTTTTAAAAGTTGTTCGGAAGTGCAATTGTAGTACATATTATAGAATACAACTAATTTGACTTAAATAATATTAACATTACTTAGACTAATAGAAACATTTAATGCAATAGTCCAAATATAAAATTTTTTTCTGATAAAAATGTAAGAACCAAAAATATAACCAACGTATTTTTAAGCCAGTAATGGGCTTTAAAGTAATTTTTTGGAGGAGACCATATATGAGGGGTAGGGTCAATTACGGATCGATCCCCATAAAATTTGGCTCATATAGAACTTATTTATGTCGAATTTTATCGCTGTAGGGTAGAAGGGGGATCATTCGCCATAGGGGCACATCTGCCAAAGCGAATAACTTGAAAACCGAGTAATCGATTTTAACGCATTATCAAATTTTATTTTCGTTTATCGATTATCTATCATCCCTGAAAGTTTGAAAGATTAACTTTACATATGATGGGAGGCAGACGTGATTGTTTTTCAAAGGGCTGTGAAAATATTTCACTGTGTGAATTTTTTGTGCTAACTTTTTTAGTTTTTGGGATAGAGAAAACATATTGGTCTGTGATAGAACGTCAATAATAGTGAATAATAAGACATAATAATATTTTCGATAATATAATTTGAAAACTAAACCCCAGAACTGCCCGTGGGGCACATTCGCCAAATATATGTAATGCTTGTGATGTAGAACAAAATTTTGTTAAAATATAGAAAAAATCATTAATAATTTGTTTTAATTTTTTTGTTTAGTTATGTGAAATAAACAATAAATATCTAGTTTATTATACTTTGTTTAGCGAATTAAAATATAGAACAGCAAAATAAGTTTTTACTTTTTAATTTTTTTGGCTTATTTTACTAATGACAAATCTGCCCATCCGCTTGGCTTATTTACCCCATGGATGGGGCTTTATCGCCGTTTTTGGTCAGTGCGGAAAAGTTAAAAAAATATGTGTATGAGGATGACTTAGGAAAGATTGAAAGGGATAAAACTAAAGCCAACATATCTAAGTATCCGAACCAAGAAAAAAATTAAGAATATGTATTGTGGTTTTAATTTGAGGCCGCCTCAAAAAAAAAAAAAAGTGGCGTATGGTCCCCCTTCTACCCTACTTGCATTTTTAAAACAGTATGGCTGCTATGCAAAAACGTGGACCGATATTGTCTATTTTCAATAGCAAATATTACAACTCTCTAGCTCTTTCTGTTCGGACTCTATCGTGCTTTCAACAGACAGACATAGAGACGGACGGACTGACAGACATGGCTAGATCGTCTTAGAATTTAATAAGGACCCAGAATATATTCACTGATTTAAAAGAAAAATACTCACAATGAAATGAAACCCCCATTTTCTTATCAGTTATGCTTTATCACCTTTTTTCTGACATTTGATTTGATATCAACATAAACTAAAATATTAGAAAACCCCAAGCAGTTGTCACATATAAAGACTATTGCACTAATATAATTCACTAATGTAATATAACATTTTATGTTTAATTACTGGCAAATTAAATGCTATCCAAACAATTTCGTTATTTTATTGATATTATTTTTTATATTTTTACTCTTTATTCATAAACGCTTAATAAAGTTATTGAAGATTTATTTTAGAAATTTGTATGCAAAATGTACTTAATAAAACATAAATAAATATCTTTATGAATATGGGTATTAATATTTCTAATTGATAGCTTATTGTTAAAACAACATATAATTATTAGTAAATAATGTAGTTACGATGACCTTGATGTTAAAAGATAATACATGTTGAAATACTTATCGGAAATATATTTGAATTATCACATATTTGACGAAAAAGACGTAACCACTATTTTTTGTAAGTAAAAGGGCTAACATTTTAGTATTTTTATTATATACTAGCTATACCCAGTGTGTCTCGCTACCCTAGAAACAATATAAATAAAAACCCCTTTACAATTTTTCATAAAAATTAAATTCATCTGAGAAGTACAAGGTGATGTGTCATAATGTCCATAGACCTTATGACACACTCAATTGAGTCATAATGACAATTTCAAAAGTTTCATTTATCAAAAAAAAAGACTAGAGAAGCCGTTATTCGAAATTGAGTCATAGTGTCCATGGACATTATGACAATTTCAAAAGTGTCACAATGTCTATGATCATAACAGGACACTTTTTTAAAGGAATCCAAAACGCAACATACATCAAATTTCGTAGCAATTCTATTCGGGATAAGAGTGTCCTTTTCCTAAATTCTAAACAAATTTGCCAATACATTTTTGTTTTAGAAGTGTCACATGGACATTATGACACTTTGAAGAATTGACATAACGTCGATGGACTCTATGACACTTTCTGGTGAGTCATAACGTCCATGGACATTATGCCTCTTTTGCTAGTCCTGTTATTTCTCTGCAAATTGTTCACTTAGATTTCAGCGTTGTTGATGCAAAATTTGAGGATTCTAGCTATAATGTTTTCCCAAATATACAAATTTTTGTATTTAATTTATATGGGAGGGACCAAGCTCCGTAATCCCCCAATTAATTAGAAAATTGTTTACACGAATCTCAATATTGAGCATTCTAGCGCCAATAGTTTCCCCGATATACGATTTTTTTATTTAATTTTTATGGGAGAGACTACACCCCCGTGATCTGCCAATTTATTAGGCAAATACTAACATGGATGTCAAAATTGTTTGCGCAAAATTTGAGCATTCTAGCTCCAATAGTTCCCTTTTTCTAGTCAGCCCATATTTGTCTTAAGTATTCATATTGATTGAATTTGAGCAATCCAAATTTTAAAGTTTCCCAAATATATGAATATTGGTAATAATTTTATATGGGGGATGACAAGCCCATTATTTTTTGTCCGTCTATTATTGCACAAAATGTTCATATTGACACTAAAGTTTTAAAAAATTAAAAAAAAAAAAAAATTTTTGTAAACAATGAAGAAATAGCTATCTGAACTCCTTTGGACAATTTTTTCTAGGACCAATAGGTTAATTTGAATAAAACCCTGCTTGACCAAAATGTCCAACTTTGACCCCCTCTAAGTCCCGCAGTTCAGGACCTACAGCGCTGTACTAACCTTGGTGCAAATTTCATTGGAAGACATCGATTTTTAAAGCTGGATCATATGACACGAAATGTCCCATATATAGATTTAAGAACATTTACAAAAACGTTTAGCACTTGATCTTTTGGATCTAGTTTCATTCTAGGCCTCTATAGTCATGAATGCAAGACCAATATTTTTCACATTTTGTAATACAGATTTTTAAAGTATATACATTTAGACTTTTTCTAGCCTTATTTTTTAAGACTTGTTTTGCCATTTCTGGTCTTTTGTATGTCCGATTTAGCCTTTTAGTTCTAAAGCACTTGGCAACACTAAATCTTACAATGTACTTTTTTAACAGTTTTAGGTTTGATTTAATCTCAAATGTTTACTTGATTCAAGTTAAAAATAAGATTGATTTAAGTATGTAAAATATTAAATTAATCCCAAAAAGGACTTGATTTGAGCTCGATTCGTACTTGATTTCAGAATTTGGTATATTTCAACAAAAAGTTATTTAAATTATTAATAAAAATATTTTTAAATAAATGAAAATGTATGATACAATTGTTGAAAATTGATTCCGAAAATATCTAGGGTCTTCACAAAATTTATTTTAACAGACGAACTTATCATAATCTACTACGATTTTATAAGGATTCCGAAAATATCTGGGGTCTTCACAAAATTTATTTAAACAGAGGAACATATCTTAATCTACTACTACTTATTTTTTCTGAAAAAAAGTCACTGATATAAGCACACATATACTAATGAAATTATGAACAGATGCGTTTGATTTCATTTAACCAAAAATCTTGATGTACATATATTCCACTTAACGATGAGAGATATGATATTTTTGTATCTCTGAGAGATTGCCAGTAACCAAATGAATTGAAAAATACACAAAAATTTTCTTTTAAATAATAAGGATTTTCATTTAAACGTTCAAAACTTTAGTAAACTGTGCAACCTGTGCATTTCCATTCTCCCAATTGAATTGTATGGAAATTGATTTGCACAACCCTATATAAGTTTGAGCGACTATTTAGACTGGCAAATTTGAGCAAACTCATTGTGTATTTAATAAATTCGTTCACTATTGTTCACTTTAGAATTTATGGACCTGAATATTCACATTTTTAACATATTTTGTAAAATTTTTTGTTAAAATAATTTATTTTTTATTTTTTGATTTCGATTGATATTGTTTTAAAAATTGTTTTAAGTATTGTAATTGAACAGAATTTGAACAGGGGTTTCATGAAACAAGTCGAATGGGAAACTTAAGCGTTTAAATGAAAACCCTTAATATTTTTTTACAGATTTTTTGTTATACTTAGTTTTAACAAGGAATTATGTATAAAACTTTTGTCACTCAAATCTTAAAATTTTTAGAACTACATAGTAAAATTTTACAATTAAGCTTAAAATTTTTATAACTTTTCCCCAACATTCACATATTTCTTAATTATTATTTATTTTTTAATTTTAATTTAATAATTTTTTCACTTTAAAATATTTTTTTTTTACATACTTAGCGAAACACAGCAGAATGCTATTAAAGCTACACCAAAAATAATTTGCTTTGAATTCATATTTATTAATTTTTTTTCGTATTAATTCGCACAGAACTTAACTCGGCACTAGTTCGTCAATAACTAAACTAAATTTGGCCAAAAAATAATTCTAGATTATATACAATATTAATTTAAAGTTAATATACAATACTATATGATAAATAGCATTTGCAATAGGTGTGAGGAACTATTGATAACAAAAATTATTAGTATGGGCTTATCGCTACAAAACTAAAATTATTTATAAGAAATTAATTTTTATTAGTTTTCATTAAAAATATATTCGTGATTTTTTTTTAATGAAGTAATTTTGAAAACTTATTTACATTTATAAATTTTCAAATTATTAGGCACATATCTAGAAATCATAATATGGCGAAAATTGTTTGCCCTTAGCTCCGCTTTAGTTCACATTTCAAAAAGTTTATATTTTCATATGTTCTGATCGAACCTTTGCACAGTGGTATAGGAAAAAAAAAGAGGGAAATAATTCGGTAACTTCTAAACGGTTAATCCGATTTTAATGAAATTTGGTATGCACAAAGAGGAGGTGTTGTCGAGTTTAGGTTTTGTATTTGGACCTTATAGGCCAACCAGGGGCCCGGCGGGGGGTCCTCAAATTAGGACACCTCGGCTATGTTAAATTTTTAAAACGATCCTATTTCTCCTCATCGAGCACTATAAAAAATTTTTACCGTCCTTACTTTAGTTTTTTGATAATAGCGGATCCAAATATTCCCGATTTTAGCAATTTTTTTTTATTCGCTTAACAACAGTTTATATATCAAGCAGTGAAAGAATTATTTAAAAATCATGACTGAGTCCAAAGTTATAGGCATTTTAATTTAAAAAATTAAAAAAAGGCGATTTTTTGTCATTTTTTTGGGAAAAAGTATCTTTTCCTTTTTAAGTTATCTAAAAAGTTTCTAAGAAGATGTATATAGAATTTATACTTTTTGGAAAGCTGACTTTACATAAAATACGATAAATGAAACAAAACCTAAAAATTTTTGATACCGAGGGGACCAGGTCCATCCAAAAAAACCCTATTTTTTATGGAAAATTCAATTTTGAGCAAAAATTCTCAAATCGCATAGTCGATATCAAATTATAGTGACCTGTTTTATATGACCCAATATGTTCTTAATCATTTTGTAACGGGTTTCGATAACCCCGCCCCTGGTATGGATATAATAGGCAAAAAACCAAAAAATCCCGTTTTTGGGATTTTTTAAAACTTTTTTGGGAATTCCGGGATTTCTAATAAGAAAATTCGAAATTTTTATTTAATTTTGGATTTTGAGTAAAAAAATCTACCTAACTGTAAAATTTTATTAAAAAATATTCATAAATAAAATTTTTATTGCAATTTGAAAAATTTGTATCTTCTCAAAAACTGAATAAAAAACATTTTTTAATTTTTTTTTTAAAAAGTATTGCGCGAATTTTTTAATTTTCAAAAATTATATACAGTTTTGAAAAATAGACAAAATTACCTTTCCATTGATATATAACATGCATACCTAATGTTTTTTAAGTGACAAATTAATTAGGGAAAACTCAACATTTTTTAGAAAATTTGCCTAGCACTATTATTTTCATCCATAAGGTTAACTCTTAAATTTGTTACATATATGGATGAAAATAATAGTGGTAGGTAAATTTTCTAAAAGATGTTGTGCATACCAAATTTCATTAAAATCGGATTAACCGTTTCGATGTTCCCGAATTATTTCCCTCTTTTTTTTCCTATACCACTGTGCTTTGGAGGCCCCATGGCTTTGTCAGATCTCTGAAATAACCAAAACTATTTTCTAGTTTTTTTTACTTGAATTAATTATATTTAATTTACAAAATATTTTATTTATCAAAAAATTTAGTACATTTTAGCTCATACTGTTGTTAGGGCCAAAATATTAATTTATTAGAAATAAACGCAACAAATAATCTTATCTTAAAATTGTTTAACTTCCATATATACTAAAATATGACAGAAAATGAAACTAAATAATATTTGTATTGGAAACAAATTAACAAAATGACTAATTTATATTTATTTAACTAAGTTTTTGTTTACAAAATTTTTTGGTTTTCTTTTCAAACGATATATAGTTATCGCTATATTTAATTAATTTTGTGGGTTCTTTATTTTAAGTTTGCATTTGGCTTATGAAAAGCCTACATGTTGTTGTGGGCACTTGCATGATAATTTTATTAACTAAAATAAAAATGTTTTTTCTTTGGTGGGTCTTTTGGTTATGGTTAATTAAAACATGTCATTTTAACTTAAAGGTATAATAATTTGATTTCTTAGAAATGTTTTCAATAAAAAAAAAATATCAATTCTTTTTAGGCAGAGAAGGGAAAACTAAAGTACTTGGCAAAGTCAGTGTAATAAATTTGTTTAAAATTTAGATAACTGATATTTTGCTAATTTAAGACACCTACAGACAGACTGATATGTCTAGTGAGTCTAGAATATTGTAAACAAAGCAATAACGTTATTCTTTATTTTTTCAAAATTTTTACAAAAATATCAATTTTGTTTATTTACTTAAACCAATTGATTATCTCGTATATATAAATATTACGTTTTATTGCTGAAATATTGATTATTGAGCGTTTATGTACTTATTACTCATTTCTTTAGCTATTATTTGATTAGATTAGTCAATCTTTTTTCTTCAACAATTTTTGGGAAATCACTTATTGTTTGCAAATTATCATTATTATGAAAAATATTTATTTTCCATTCTATATTATCGTTCGAAAATAGACATTTAGGTCATCCAAAATATAATATATAAAAAAAAAAATACCCTTTATTGTTAATGGGTTATGCCATAATAGAACTATAAATGAAAGAAAATTAGTTTTAATTAAATCAATTAAATGTTTCATTAAAACTATAAAAAATTGATTGATTAACTGTCGATTAGGAGATGTATTGTAAATGTTTTTACAAGAATACCATATAGCTCTTCATACCAAAAACTCCTCACTGTTTGTTATCTTGTGAATCTTCGCTCTTCTTAGCGTTATTGCTATCCGGGGGAAAGAGCTGCTACCAGTACCTTTAGTCTGCTGGGACCATAAACTGCTGGTGTATCCTCGCCCTTTCCCTGGAATGATTTGAACTTCGGACTTTGTCTTGTCCCGGTTATTGGAGAGGTCTTTTTTGGGGTGCTTAAAACATTAGATCGCTGTAAGAGAATGTTTGTTATAAGACTGAACCACGCTGAAATCTATATTTCGGAGTAAGTTCGGTGCTGTTTCCGAAAAAGACGATAGAATAGTTATGTATTGGATAAAGTGTACTGGATTGAATGGTGGTGGATTCAGTAATAACACTGAATTTCCCTTCCTTGTTCATTTCATACAAGTCTTACCTTAGAACTTGTCTTTGGCTCATTTGATGGATTCGTATTTCGGTCTACCGATTACGTCTCCAAGTGCTGTTGCCGAATGAAGAGAGATGTTTTTGAATCTCGGAATTTAAGCAAAGAGGTAACAATGTCCAATGATAGCTCTAGTACTCGATAAAAGCGCTTGTACCTAAGGGGCGCTGGTTCACCATATGGTTGTAAAAGTACCATCCTGAAATAGGCCGTGAATAGGCCGACTTCCGTGGTTCGTTTGTAATGATCCTAAAATCTTCATCACTTATGATTTTAGATAATTTAAAGCTAAGGAAGTTGTTGCCACCAAAAACAGTTCTACAGGGAAAAGGAGGAGATCAATATTGCGACTCAAAACTCAGAGAAAAATGTTGGGCAATGTTGAATACTGCATCTCCAGACCCTTTTCCAATATATTCTTCAGCATGTTGATCGTAACATTATCCAATTAGTTCTACAAACTTTCCATTTAATTTCATTTAATATTTTTACTAATTTACTGAACGGTGGCAGGAGTAGAGTGCTATACGTGAACACCTGCAAAACGGCCTATGAGACGACTCATCATCGCCCGTTTCTGACTTCCAAATAACACTCAGGTGGCAATTTTTGTACATGATTCCGCCGGTCCATGTACAAGCACTTTGCTGGAGGTACTGTTAGCATATCTTTACCACAGGATTGCAATCACATACCTCGTGGGACTTAATGGTGCAGAATAGAACTTGTACATTCCATATTCCAAGAGAAGTTTCTCTTTCAAAACCCAGGACTATTGTATTTCAATTCGAGTCTATATCGGCTGCTCAAGAGACTAATAAGAATAGAACATCTAGCAAAGGAATGGATGGTGGCTATCATACCTAACTATTAAACGGCTTGATTCTCTTTGTCATTGTGGATTGACTGACATGATTTACCAAAAATATTAACCAAACCGCTTACGTAATATAAACGTCCAATTGATGAGGAAGGGCTACTATTGTGCCAAAACTGTATGGTCTTTAGAGATCACATGTATGACCCTGGTCAATTAATTGTCTTTCAGAATCTTGCACATGCTCACTCTCGCAATACAGAAGCAGGTCGTCAAAGATATCTGCCTAATCGATCAGAAAGTTTAAAAACATACACATTACAACTTATATAAAAAATATCGAAATGAGTAATAATAGCAGATAGTTATTTACATCCTTTTCCATAACCCGGCCATCCTGATCTAACGAATCTATTGAAAATAGACATCGGAAGAGTAAACATTTAATTTGAGCAATACTTCGTTCCTCTTTTTGGATAATACAATGTTATCAAAGTCCGAATAAATAATTGTTAAAATGATATTCCAATGAAATGTTTCATTAATACTATGAAACTCTATGTAACGTAAATTCTACAACAATTTCAAATTTGGAGTCTGTAGACCTTTTACGGTCAGTAGAACAATTGAATTAAAATAAGAAAAAATATATTAATTCAAATTAATTTCTTAACTTAAACCATTTTATCTCAGTTTGCCCACATCAGTCATCATTACAAATTACTGTTGATGTTCCTGTGGCCTCTTCTCAAAGTAAATTAACAAAATGTATTTTCTTCATATTTATTTGCATGTACCTTAACACAAATCATTTTTTAACAATTATTATGTCCTTAAGCCATATAGCGCCCCAATTTACATGTTAAAAGCATTCAAAAACTCTCAAACACCGCAC